TGTTGATAAACCTCATCTCACATTTAGCTTGAGTAACCTAAACAATGTCTTAACATGTTGATAAACCTCTTCTCACATGAAGCTTGAATTACCTGAACAATGTCTAAACCATCTATTCTAAACATTGCTGTTGATAAACCTCTTCTCCCATCGAGCTTGAATTACATGAACAATGTCTTAACAATCTAATCTAAACATTGCTGTTGATAAACCTCTTCTCCCATCGAGCTTGAATTACATGAACAATGGATAAACCATTTAATTTAAGCATTGCTGTTTATAAACCTCTTCTCCCATCGAGCTTGAATTACCTGAACAATGTTTTAACAATCTAATCTAAACATTGCTGTTGATAAACCTCTTCTCACATGGAGCTTGAATTACCTGAACAATGTCTTAACAATCTAATCTAAACATTGCTGTTGATAAACCTCTTCTCACATGGAGCTTGAATTACCTGAACAATGTCTTAACAATCTAATCTAAACATTGCTGTTGATAAACCTCTTCTCCCATGCATTGCGCTTGAATTACCCGAACAATGTCTTAACCATTTAATCTAAACATTGCTGTTGATAAACATCTTCTCCCTTGAAACTTGAATTACCTAAACAATGTCTAAACCATCTAATCTAAACATTGCTGTTGATAAACCTCTTCTTGCATGCAGCTTGAATTACCTGAACAATGTCTTAACAATCTAATCTAAACATTGCTGTTGATAAAACTTTTCTCACATGAAGCTTGAATTACATGAACAATGTCTTAACATGTTGATAAACCTCATCTCACATTTAGCTTGAGTAACCTAAACAATGTCTTAACATGTTGATAAACCTCTTCTCACATGAAGCTTGAATTACCTGAACAATGTCTAAACCATCTATTCTAAACATTGCTGTTGATAAACCTCTTCTCCCATCGAGCTTGAATTACATGAACAATGTCTTAACAATCTAATCTAAACATTGCTGTTGATAAACCTCTTCTCCCATCGAGCTTGAATTACATGAACAATGGATAAACCATTTAATTTAAGCATTGCTGTTTCTAAACCTCTTCTCCCATCGAGCTTGAATTACCTGAACAATGTTTTAACAATCTAATCTAAACATTGCTGTTGATAAACCTCTTCTCACATGGAGCTTGAATTACCTGAACAATGTCTTAACAATCTAATCTAAACATTGCTGTTGATAAACCTCTTCTCACATGGAGCTTGAATTACCTGAACAATGTCTTAACAATCTAATCTAAACATTGCTGTTGATAAACCTCTTCTCCCATGCATTGCGCTTGAATTACCCGAACAATGTCTTAACCATTTAATCTAAACATTGCTGTTGATAAACATCTTCTCCCTTGAAACTTGAATTACCTAAACAATGTCTAAACCATCTAATCTAAACATTGCTGTTGATAAACCTCTTCTTGCATGCAGCTTGAATTACCTGAACAATGTCTTAACAATCTAATCTAAACATTGCTGTTGATAAAACTTTTCTCACATGAAGCTTGAATTACATGAACAATGTCTTAACATGTTGTTAACCTCATCTCACATTTAGCTTGAGTAACCTAAACAATGTCTTAACATGTTGATAAACCTCTTCTCACATGAAGCTTGAATTACCTGAACAATGTCTAAACCATCTATTCTAAACATTGCTGTTGATAAACCTCTTCTCCCATCGAGCTTGAATTACATGAACAATGTCTTAACAATCTAATCTAAACATTGCTGTTGATAAACCTCTTCTCCCATCGAGCTTGAATTACATGAACAATGGATAAACCATTTAATTTAAGCATTGCTGTTTATAAACCTCTTCTCCCATCGAGCTTGAATTACCTGAACAATGTTTTAACAATCTAATCTAAACATTGCTGTTGATAAACCTCTTCTCACATGAAGCTTGAATTACATGAACAATGTCTTAACATGTTGATAAACCTCATCTCACATTTAGCTTGAGTAACCTAAACAATGTCTTAACATGTTGATAAACCTCTTCTCACATGAAGCTTGAATTACCTGAACAATGTCTAAACCATCTATTCTAAACATTGCTGTTGATAAACCTCTTCTCCCATCGAGCTTGAATTACATGAACAATGTCTTAACAATCTAATCTAAACATTGCTGTTGATAAACCTCTTCTCCCATCGAGCTTGAATTACATGAACAATGGATAAACCATTTAATTTAAGCATTGCTGTTTATAAACCTCTTCTCCCATCGAGCTTGAATTACCTGAACAATGTTTTAACAATCTAATCTAAACATTGCTGTTGATAAACCTCTTCTCACATGGAGCTTGAATTACCTGAACAATGTCTTAACAATCTAATCTAAACATTGCTGTTGATAAACCTCTTCTCACATGGAGCTTGAATTACCTGAACAATGTCTTAACAATCTAATCTAAACATTGCTGTTGATAAACCTCTTCTCCCATGCATTGCGCTTGAATTACCCGAACAATGTCTTAACCATTTAATCTAAACATTGCTGTTGATAAACAACTTCTCCCTTGAAACTTGAATTACCTAAACAATGTCTAAACCATCTAATCTAAACATTGCTGTTGATAAACCTCTTCTTGCATGCAGCTTGAATTACCTGAACAATGTCTTAACAATCTAATCTAAACATTGCTGTTGATAAAACTTTTCTCACATGAAGCTTGAATTACATGAACAATGTCTTAACAATCTAATCTAAACATTGCTGTTGATAAAACTTTTCTCACATGAAGCTTGAATTACCTGAACAATGTCTTAACATGTTGATAAACCTCATCTCACATTTAGCTTGATTAACCTAAACAATGTCTTAACATGTTGATAAACCTCTTCTCCCATTGAGCTTGAATTGCTTGAACAATGTCTAAACCATCTAATCTAACCATTGCTGTTGATAAACCTCTTCTCACATGAAGCTTGAATTACCTGAACAATGTCTAAACCATCTATTCTAAACATTGCTGTTGATAAACCTCTTCTCCCATCGAGCTTGAATTACATGAACAATGTCTTAGCAATCTAATCTAAACATTGCTGTTGATAAACCTCTTCTCCCATCGAGCTTGAATTACATGAACAATGGATAAACCATTTAATTTAAGCATTGCTGTTTATAAAACAATCTAATCTAAACATTGCTGTTGATAAACCTCTTCTTGCATGCAGCTTGAATTACCTGAACAATGTCTTAACAATCTAATCTAAACATTGCTGTTGATAAAACTTTTCTCACATGAAGCTTGAATTACATGAACAATGTCTTAACATGTTGATAAACCTCATCTCACATTTAGCTTGAGTAACCTAAACAATGTCTTAACATGTTGATAAACCTATTTTCCCATTGAGCTTGAATTACTTGATCAATGTCTTAACCATCTAATCTAAACATTGCGGTTAATAAACCTCTTCTAACACGGAGCTTGAATTACCTGAACAATGTCTTAACCATCTAATCTAAACATTGCGGTTAATAAACCTCTTCTAACACGGAGCTTGAATTACCTGAACAATGTCTTAACCATCTAATTTAAACATTGCTGTTGATAAACCTCTTCTCCCATTGAGTTTGAATTACCTGAACAATGTCTAAACCATCTAATCTAAACATTGCTAAACCTCTTCTCACACGGAGCTTGAATTGCTTGAACAATGTCTAAATCATTTAATCTAACCATTGCTGTTGATAAACTCTTCTCACACGGAGCTTGAATTACCTGAACAATGTCTAAACCATTTAATCTAAACATTGCTGTTGATAAACCTCTTCTCACATGAAGTTTGAAATACCTGAACAATGTCTTAACCATTTAATCTAAACATTTTTGTTGATAAATCTCTTCACATGAAGTTTGAAATACCTGAACAATGTCTTAACCATTTAATCTAAACATTGCTGTTGATAAACCTCTTCACATGAAGTTTGAAATGCCTGAACAATGTCTTAACCATTTAATCTAAACATTGCTACTGATGATTATCTGGTTGTTTGGAACATTTATCTCCATTATTAGAGTTGGTAATTAATTCATCAAGATTGTATCATATTCATTTACTTTCAGGAAGATTAGTGGTTAACTAGGTTATATTAAATTAGTATATAGTTCAACAGCAGTGAGACATAGACATTGGTATTTGCTGGAATTAATATATATGTATATATATATATATGGAATTACTGCAGCAGAACATATCAGTCATTGATAGATCATAATACATTCATGTGACACTGAAGATATCTAAAAACTTATTCTTTGTACTTCAACAAAGACAGGCCATAGCCATTTGAATGGAATTTAATTTACTTTTGACAACTGCCTATTGTTGTTTTCTGTCAATAATCACTGCAGCATAGACGCTTTGGACATTTCGGAGAGTTTCCAATTTCTAAAGAAATGACAACTTTTGATTGTGGAACCAGTTATGAATGTCACACATGATACTAGACAGTCATGAATGTCACATGATACTAGACAGTTATGCATGTCACATGATACTAGACAGTTATGAATGTAACATGATACTAGACTCAAACAAATAAACATCATCAGCTTACACTTTAGCATTTCAGTGTCTCAGACAAAGATAGAAAACTTTTTTATTTTAAGTTTATATTTTAAATATTCAGTATATGTATTTCTCGTTCAATAGAGCTTAGAGCTTGGAAAAATACCTTTACTTACATTTTAAAAAATATCAGCACTATATTGTGTTTTACGTTGAAGTGATATAAACTCTTATCTTTAAACAATAATAAAGGAAAGAACACTATCTAAAGAAAGACGATATTACCAGACACACTCCAACTCCCAGTAATTCTTGTAAGCAGTTAATACCTATAAAAAGCATTTGGTTTGACCAGTTTGAGATCCTGCTCACATTTCCAAATTCATTAATTGAGGCAAGCAGGAGACTGCTTAGGTGGTGCTGTTATTTCTATCATATAAAAGTATTTTTAAATAATGAAATTAAGGCACAATGATGTATATTTATTTCTATACAATAACAAATAAATGTTTGAGAGAAGTAAGCAAATCTTAAAGCAGAATTACAGATAAATTAACATAATAATGTTTAAAAGAAGTAAGCAAGTCTCACAGCAGAAATACAGACATATTAACATAATAAGAAATTAAGCAAGTCTTCAGACAGAACTGCAGACAGTCTAAAATCATTACAAACACAGTGTACAAAATATAACAGAATCAAAGCACTGTAAGCGCTGTAGGCAGTTAACCAAAAACAAAAGGCAAACGTAATTATGAAAACTGTGGCAGTGTTGCTTCAATTTTTTTTTAAGATTTGAAAGAACAAACATTAAACATTCGTATATTGTACATTTATGTTCATTAAATGAATTGATTATTAAGGCAAATTAATTAATATTTCATCAAGGTTTTCAAAAGCAACTCCTATATCAATGTAAATGACCCCTATCTTCACCCCCAAGTGCATGATGTTACTCCATACCAAGTTTGGAATAAAATGACAGGTGATTATAAAACAGTTCGTCAAACATTCTCGGGCTTTACACTGCTTGAAAGATTTATATGTTTTCTTTAAAATGAGCCATATATGAAAATTATTATAGGCCCAGAAATAATTTAATAAATAATTAAAGTAAATTCAATTAACCTAGACTCATTTTTTGCATCAATAAAATTTTATAATAAACAAGAAATAATTGTAGCAGGATGCGGTTACGAAGTCTCCCAAACAAAGCCCCCATAATTCGTCATTCCCATGGTCTCCTGACATTGGGCAAAGTCCAGTTCATATTGGTTTGGTCTAGTAAAGTGATATGCATATGTGACACCTAGGAGATTGACCCTGTATGTCATTCAAATCTTTTTGAAATGATGAACAGGAATAAATATGGTTTAGGTGTGGGTATCTCGACCGTTTACAAGTTCTCAAACAGGAGGGGGTGGGGTGACCCAAGGGACTCCCCAAATATTTCATTTGATTTGTTATATTGTCCCATACATGAATACATATGGTTTAGGGGTGGGGATCTTGACTGTTTACAAGTTCTCAAACAAGAGGGGGTGAGGTGTCCCCATGGACTCCCCCTATATTTCATTTGATTTGTTTTATTGTCCCATACATGAATATATATGGTTTAGGGGTGGGGATCTCGACCATTTCCAAGTTCTCAAACAGGAGGGGTGGGTTGGCCCGAGGAACTCCCCATATATTTCATTTGATTTGTTATATTGTCCCCTACATGAATATATATGGTTTAGGGGTGGGGATCTTGACTGTTTACAAGTTCTCAAACAGGAAGGGGTGGAGTTTCCCCAGGGACTCCCTATATATATCATTTGATTTGTTATATTGTCCCATACATGAATATATATGGTTTAGGGGTGGGGATATCGACTGTTTACAAGTTCTCAAACAGGAGGGGGTGGGGTGACCCCAGGGACTCCCCTATATTTCATTTGATTTGTTTTATTGTCCCATACATGAATATATATGGTTTAGGGGTGGGGATCTCGACCATTTCCAAGTTCTCAAACAGGAGCGTTTGGGACGACACCGGGGACTCCCCCAAATTATTTTCATTTGATTTCTTTTATTGTCCCATACAAGTATATATATTGTTTAGGGTTGGGGATTGCGACGGTTTACAAGATAAAAGTACATTTTCAAATTGAAGGGGGTTCGGATGACCCCCAGGGACTCACCCTATATTTTGGTTGATTTTTTTTTGTCCTGTTCTCATTACTGAAGACTGCATGTGTCTATCACTTACTGTTTTCGAGAAATGGTCATTTGAAAATTTAAAAAAATAAAATCCCAAAGGGTTCTATAGTAAACCCCTCCCTTCTTCAGGCCCCTCCAAATACCCCTTAATAGACCCCAATGCACAAACAAAAGATTAATGGCTCCGCTAGACATGTTAGTCTAATATTTTATGAAACCCTAAGTAAATCTGACAAACGGTCAAAGTTGTCTTCTTAGATGGTTTGAGTGGATTCGGTCCGACTTGTCTCGGGGACGAGTTGTCCACTTTACTTAAAACATCTCATCAACGTCGATTTCCGCATCTGTTTCATGACCTCGTTTCATTCATAAAATAACAACAACCTTAATTCGCGCTTATTTGGCAAGATAAGTTAAAAATTACCACCCACTTATATAACTTTATTTCCTCTATCATAGAGATTTGTTGTACATGAACAATATTCCTGCGCATTTTGCCACTTGGGAAATATAAACGACTTGTAATTACCGATTTTCGGCGAAGAAATATTTCATACAATTGTTCTTTGACATCGTAGCCAAAAGCACAGGGGATAATAAACAACGTACGGATTTCTATTGAACACTACTTCCTATGTGCAACTTCGAAAATTTTGGGTAGTTCGACGATCATTTAAGGTTTTTCTGGTCATATTTTTTGTATTCCAGAAATAAAAGTATTAAAAAAATGTCCAATTAGTTATAAATAACATAATAGCCAGCTAGATAATAACAATGGCAGGTATTTCAGCATTTATTGGGTAGAACACAAATCTAGGGTGCTCGCATAAGGCAGCTTAACTGCCTAATAAAAATTATTTGAATACATCATGAAAAGACATTAAAAGGTTTTTTAAGAGCATTTTAAACTGTGAAAATATGAAACTTCAAATGAAAATATAACATATGTATCTTTCATATTGTATGAATAGTAACTTAAGTGACTGAAATAATCCAGCACAAAAAATGTGTATTAAATCACTATCCCTAAAACCATAATTTTACCTATTTTGTACTTCAGTATTTATAAATGACTGTCTTGTTTATTTTTGTCTGTGTATGTAGTATTTGGAAACAGATTAATCATGCAAATGTAAGTATCATATTGCTTTACTGCTAATGGAACAGGTCAGTTATAAAATACCTAAACTTCTAATTTGGTCATTCACCATTAAATATTAAGATAAAAAGTTCTGGTATGACAGCCAATGACACAACTATCTACTAGAGTCCAAATGATGTGGATGTAAGTAATTATAGATCACCATACCGCCTTCAACAATGAGCAAAAGCCAAACTGTAAAGTACACATATAAAAACTCTTAAATGGTATCCCAGTCTTAAAAAGATGGGAACTTGGTGATTTCAAAGTACCACTATTTCTTCTACTTATCTTATCAAACCTAATGACACCATTTAAACTGTGACAGAAAAAAATCTACTTTGAATGGAAAATAAATGAAATGCAGGTCCAACTTTAAATATCAACAATTACATCATCTTCTCTGATTAAAGTCAGGTCAGTAATAAGTGTATTTAATGAATGGCTATTATTTATCTGAATTTATTGAACCATAAAATTAATTTTTGACTCTTCACATTGAATAATCCGTGAAGAGTCAAAAATTAATTTTATGGTTCAATAAATTCAAAATAAATAATAGCCATTCATTATAAATAAATTTCTATCAAAAATAAGGCTCAAAGAGCTTTTTATATTATCTATATTAACAATAACAACGTACACACATGTTGGCGTATGCATACACAACGTCAGAGTGGGCGTGTCGCCATAAAAATTGACAACATTGAAAATAAAGGTAATACTTTTAACCAGTCAGAAGACAGTAAATACACCAAAGTTTACCCAGTGTAAAGCATCTCAACATAGGGAAAGTTTACCCAGTGTAAAGCATCTTAAAATAGGGAAGTATATCCAGTGTAAAACATCTTAAAATAAGGAAAGTTTACCCAGTGAAAAACATCTTAAAACAGGGATAGTAGAATAAATTATTGCAAACATAGCAACTGTGTGTGTTTGACAAGGGATACAACGAGAGTGAACGATTCTAGGTGTATGAGAAAAGTATACATCATACAAAAAATTGTGTGTTTCCTGTTAAAATACTTGATGTCTTTTGTTGGTTTTATGATGTTGTTGAATTGCTGTATCATTGATATAAACCACAATTCTCCTTTTACAAAGATTACGCTCTTTGATTGAAAAAGAATACCCCCCCCCCCCCCCCCCCCCAATAAAATAATAGACTATTGATTCTTTCAACTGATTTAAAGAATTAACAAATCTAGCTTTACCTTGTGACCAGTGATAAAATCAAAATGACAAATTTGTCTGCATCTTGCAATCTACCTTGAATCAGCTATAAATATAAACCAATCGGATTTACACATATATTACACTTGTTATATAAAATTTCAAACAACCTTTTAAAGTAAGAAACAATATCAAAACATATTGATTTACATATTTTTCCTCACACAGATTCAAATTTTTGATAGAAATGAATTTCAACATCATTATTTATTTCCATCACAGCTGCTAAATATAGTTTTTGTATTTATCATTAAAAGCTTTGACAACTATTGTCCATAACATCTCTTCCTCAACTATCACTGCCAGAATTCAGTTGAAATAATTAATGAACATTTTCTTTGTTTTCTGGACATTCTCTGTCTGAAATTCCCTGCAATTAAAGAAATAGTTTGTCACAGCTGTAAATACTGAACTTTATCTCTGCTCATCAAACTAATAATCAATAATGTAAAAAGATAGCTATGCCATATCAAAATGCCCCCCCCCCCCTGGTGTCATTGTGATAAGACACTTAAAATATTGAAAAAGTCACATAACTCCTATAAAAACAGTCAAATCAACAAAATGACGGTATATTATGGTCAACTACGCATAATAGCAAATGATCCTGCCAAGTATGAGAGTTATCTTTTCTAAAATGATCTCAGAAAGAGTTGAGTTCACATTGAGGTGACACTATTACAATATTAAAATAAAATGCTCCATTGGGCTCAGCTTGATACGACGGCAGAGGTGGGACCCTGAACAGTTGGGGAAAGTCATGGACACAACATTCAAGCTTTATACAGCTCTGAATTTGGATTGTGATTAAATATCTGACAAAACATAGGTTTCTGACACAGAATGAATACACCTTATCGCTATTCCCGCTTGACCCGAGAATCTGTCCCGCTCGAACTTTTGACGTCACACAACAATCACTTTTCCATTGTGGCGTCAGATATTTTCTATTATGACGTCAAATTTTTACGGGAACTTGTGTGATGTCCAGTAATGGCGGACAAATAGCGATAAGGTGTATGTGGTCTAAGTAAGAACTTAAAAATTTTAAGTTACCTATTCAAACCATATCATTATTATTTGCTTTTATATATAAATCAGGAATAATCAACTTAAAATGGAAAATTTTAAAGAAAAAAAAAAAGGAAAAAAAAATCCCCCCCCCCAATTTTTTCAACCCCCTTATGATTCATCACCCCCAAACTCAATCCCAGCCTTCCCTTTGTGGTAAGGTACCTTGCAGTACAATTTCAGAGAGATCCATACACTTGAACACAAGTTATTGTCTGGAAACTAGAAAAATGCTTGTTTTTTGGCCCCTTTTTGGACCCAAATTCCTAAATGTTTTGGGCAATTACCCCCAAACTCAAACCCAGCTTTCCCTTTGTGATATGGAACCTTGTAGTACAATTTCATAAAGATCTATACACTTACACACAAGTTATTGTCCTGAAAATAGAAAAAAATGCTTGTTTTTTGCCCCTTTTTGGCCCCTAATTCCTAAAATTTTGAGGCAATTACCCCCAAAATCAATCCCAGTATTCCCTTTGTGGTATGGTACCTTGCAGTACAATTTCAGAGAGATTCATACACTTGAACACAAGTTATTGTCTGGAAACTAGAAAAATGCTTATTATTTGCCCCTTATTCCTAAACGTTTTGGGTAATTACCCCCAAACTCAATTCCAGCTTTCCCTTTGTGATATGGAACCTTGTAGTACAATTTCAGAAAGATCCATACACTTACACACAAGTTATTGTCATGAAACTAGAAAAATGCTTGTTTTTTGCCCCTTTTTTGGCCTCTAATTCCTAAAATTTTGAGACAATTACCCCCAAAATGAATCCCAGCATTCCCTTTATGGTATGGTACCTTTCAGTACAATTTCAGAGAGATCCATAAACTTGAACACAAGTTATTGTTTGGAAACTAGAAAAATGCTTATTTTTGGCCCCTTTTTGGCCTCTAATTCCTAAACGTTTTGAGCAATTACCCCCAAACTCAATTCCAGCTTTCCCTTTGTGATATGGAACCTTGTAGTACAATTTCAGAAAGATCCATACACTTACACACAAGTTATTGTCATGAAACTAGAAAAATGCTTGTTTTTTGCCCCTTTTTTCTAAAATTTTGAGGCAATTACCCCCAAAATCAATCCCAGCATTCCCTTTGTGATATGAAACCTTATGGTACAATGTCAGAGAGATCCATACACTAACACACAAGTTATTGTCTGGAAGTTACAAAAATGCTTATTTTTGGCCCCTAATTCCTTAACTGTTGATACCATAACCCCCAAAATCAATCCCAACCTTCCTTTTGTGGTATTGAACCTTATGGTAAAATTTCATAGAGATCCATTCACTTAAACTTAAGTTATTGTGAGCAAACCAATGTGTAATCGGACGACGACGACGCCGACGTCATACCAATATACGAGCGCAAAAATTTGTTGCGGTCGTATAATAAAATGCTCCGCTGGGCGCAGCTTGATATGACCGCAGAGGTCCAACCCTGAACAGTTGGGGCAAGTATGGACACAACATTCAAGCTTGATACAGCTGTGAATTTGGATTGTGATTAAATATTTGACACAGTATAGGTTTCTGACACAGAATGAATGTGGTCTAAGAAAGGTCTTAAAAAATTTTAATTTACCTATTCAAACCATATCATTATTTTTTGCTCTTATTTATAATTCAGGAATAACCAACTTAAAATGGAAAATTTTAAAGAAGAAAAAAAATCCCCCCCCCAAATTTTTTCAACCCCCTTATGATTCATCACCCCCAAACTCAATCCCAGCCTTCCCTTTGTGGTAAGGTACCTTGCAGTACAATTTTAGAGAGATCCATACACTTGAACACAAGTTATTGTCTGGAAACTAGAAAAATGCTTGTTTTTTGGCACCTTTTTGGCCCCAAATTCCTAAACGTTTAGGGCAATTACCCCCAAACTCAAACCCAGCTTTCCCTTTGTGATATGGAACCTTGTAGTACAATTTCATAAAGATCCATACACTTACATACAGCCCTTGGATGGTGTAAACTTCCCAAAATAACGTGTATAGTGTAATGGTGTATGGCATATGGTGCAATGGTAGAAGGTGTATGGTGCTATGGTGTATGGTGTAAGGGGAATGGTGTAATGGTGTATGAGGAATGGTGTGATTGTGTAACGTGCGATCGGGAATGGTGTGAATGAATGGTGTACGACATTTCATTGGTTGAAACCGAAGTTCATTTTATTTTAATTTTTCGGATTGTAAACATAAACAATAATAATAATCCTATTGTTCTTTTTTCCCAGTAAAGCAAATTACTTTACTCGTTAGACTCTATGTCATATATATTTAATATACACATATTAAAAAATCTTTTTTTTTTCATATTCTTATTTACATTAAACAATGGCTTTAAAATTACACACTTGTGATCACATGCAGTTATCATAAAAGAAAGGATTTTATTTAAACTAGAAGGCGGATAGAAAGGTTATCCACGCATCAGAACAGTATTTTTATATCACGGGTTATCAACATCATTTTTAAAGTTGCTTCGTTCCCCACTTTTGACAGTCTCTTTATAAATATCTTATCGTCATTCACCTATGTTTGCCTTGGATTTACGATTCTGTTTTCCAAAAAATGTTCAAAGGAAAATTGTACAGTGTTATTGCATTTAAGGTGTTGTATAATTATGAACAATCTCGTCAATTTCGTTAGATTTGTCTTTACGGATTATAAATGATATCTTGAACGTCCGAAAAAATATACTTATGTGAAACGGAATGAAATATTTGCCACTTGATATTTAGCCACCAACAAAATCAACCAACCGACATAATATACTAACAGTATACTTTTCCTAGAAGAGAACTTCTCATACTTTTCATTATAAAGTACAAATGAAATCTGTCATGTCAGTCACACTGTTGGATGATGAGGTGGAATAGTTTTATTATACAAACCATCCTGAACTACTGAGTTTAAATCATCACACCTCAGCAAGCACGACTAATTTATGCGCAGACCAACCCATCACACAATAGCCCATGGAAGTGGGAAATACAGATACTGATACTGACTTTGTGATATTTTTATTAACAAGAAAAATGGATTATTAATACACAGCATGTTGACATGTATCATCGCACATGCACATTTCATATTAATAAAACACAAACAACAGTACAGTTTGAAAACAATACACAAATTAATTAATTAATAATCTGTGGTATTCCACTCAAGGGAATATTACATTTATAATATGAAACCAAAACTGTGTGTTCTTGTAATATAATCTACTCTACACATTTATAAAATATACAGTTAAATTAATCAATAATATATCTATAATTAGTTGATGAAGCAACCTAAATATCTCAATAAAAATTAAAAATAAAATAGGGTGGGTGAGGATGGGATTTTAAATTCGCTATTGCCAAATTGCAATGCGTCTGCTTCATGCAGTTGTATTATCTAGAATGCCTAAATGAGACGCGCAGTAATTAAAACAAAAGGATGATAATTAATTAATTATCTCTGCCGATTGGATAATTTGAAATAAGGGCCTTGTTCTGATTGGTTCCCTTCCCACATCTCACAAAGCAATTAGAGAGCGAGATGTCAAGAGTGGCCAGTAGGGAATTCCTTATATCATTGGTTGTTATTATTAGATATAAGCTGAAATAAAATACCCAATCGGCAATAAAGGACAGGTAATGCATGTGCGATGATACATGTCAACATGCTGTGTATTAATAATCCATTTTTCTTGTTAATAAAAATATCACATTAATCCACATCACTTTGAAAACGGCCCCACCCATTTCCCTCCCCCCTGTGTATGTGTATAGTGTGTATGTGTATATATGCTGTTGGAATCTAGACCAGTCTCAGATCAGATGCATGTTAATGTCTAACTCTGATCAGAATCCAGTCAGGAAACCTGTGAATCCAGATGGTTACTAGTGTAAAACAAAGACATGTTTGGGAAAAGAACCACAGTTTAATGCTTAAATTTCATATTAATAAAACACAAACAACAGTACAGTTTGAAAACAATACACAAATTAATTAATTAATAATCTGTGGTATTCCAAACTTCACAGTTTTATATAACGAATACAGAGATGAAATGCTGGCACTCTAAATTAAAGCGGACAAGATTTTGTTATCATTGTATTGCAATGTTGCTGTCATTTGTATTATACAATCCATCCTGACATCAAAATATTGCTGATTTACTATGCGGCTGCCGCAATATAGATTTACATAATAAAGTGCAAATATGGTCAGTTTTGTTTGATACTTTAAAATAGTTTTGTTATACGAGTCAGCCTGAGGTATCAAAACTACTGAAATTTTC